CTGTGTGCCCACACCAGCCCCCCGCACCGTGTCCCCCAGTGTGCCCAGCTGCGGGTGTTCTCCCGGTGCAGGTCCAGGGCAGTTCTTTCTCCTGCCTTTGCATCTTCCCGGGATCCAGAGCTGTTCCCCAGTGCTTGGGTGTCATTATCCCCTTGAATTAATCACTGAGCCCGCACGTTTCCCACTGGTACCCTCATGCCGGGCCCAGGGTGCGATGCCTCTCTGGCTTGCCTGGTCCATGAGATCAGGACTGTTTCATGTGCCTTGCACGTGACTCACCTGCTTGTGTGTGTCAGGCTGCTATTTGCCTTTTGTCACACTGTTCTGAGCTGTTGACACATGTTTGGCTCATGATCTCCTCCGTCCCACAGGTTTTGGTTTGCAGAAGTGCTGCCACGTCATTAGTTCCCTATCCTGCAGCTGCACAGTCACTGGTACCTGCCTACTTGCGGGACTGTGTGTTTGACATCACTGAGTTGCTCTGCTCTTTTTCTGACCACTTTTCCTGTTTGTCAGTCTCATTGTAAGGTGGACCTGCGTCCTTGCAGCCTTCCCCAGCTGAACGGTATCATAACCCAGAGAGCAAGTACTCGACTTTGTTACCATGCAGGTGTAAGGGATGGAGCCAGAAGAGAGCAGCGGTGCACTCCTCCGGCAGTGAGGCACAGCCAAGTGCCCTCCCAGTGGCTGGCACCACCTGCAGCCTTTTCACCTGACCCTCAGGCATGGGCTTGCAAAGGAGAAGTGGGCATCAGAGGCCTAGAAAATCAGGATCTGTAGCATCTCCCTCTTCCCTTTGCAGGTTAACGTAGTGCTAAGAAGCCAAGTCATGGTGTCTGGGCCATCAGAGCAGCAAGGTGCCCAAGAGCGACTGACCAGCAGTCAGGCAGGGACCTGGCAGAGAAGAGGCCATCAGAGGGCACCGCGGGCTAGTGAGGTCTGCCCAGAGCTCAGCAGTATGGCATGGAGGAGGCTGTGCAAAGCAAGGAGAGCCCAGAACACTGAAAGCCTCAGCCCCTGCACATGGGTGTCATAACCAGACTCATATACAGCAATAGAAACTGTGTGCTGGGTGCAGGGCAGACAATGATGCTGTGGGAAAGCCAGCTCAGGGTTGCCTGGTTGGGTTATTCACGTGCAGGGAGCAACTACTGGGGCTTGCTGGGCATAGGCCGTGTTCATGACTGCTCTTTGCCTCATGGCCCACACCAGCCCCTGCTGCTTTTTGCTGCTGCGGTACGCTGACTTCGAGCCTGGCACTGGAGAAGGCTGTTCAGGCAGACTGGAGCAGCCAGTCATGGCAGGGACAGTGCTGGGAACAGCCCAGTGCTCCTGGAGTGGTCTCAGTGCCCAGGAACACAGCACGGTTAGAGGTAGAGAGATGTGGATGACATTACCCTGTCCACGAAGACTGTCAGAGAAGGAAGTCAGGCAGGACTGTGCATATACAGGTGTGTTTGCTGCAATTCTTCCCCTTCCTTGTTGTCTCTGGGAGCACCTGCCTATTTGTTCCATGGTTTTCTTGGACTCTGAAGTTGAGCTAAGTGACCTATAATTCTTCACTTGCTTTTTTTTTTTCTCCTATCAAAGACAGGCATTTTGTCACTCCTTTTTCCTGTTCTCTGAGACCTCATCCGTCCTCTACCAGCTCTCAATATTACTCTCACTTATCTTCAGTCCAGCCAATCTCATCACATTTTCCTTTATCTAGCATGAGCATACATCTCTGTCACTCATGTTAATGGTGTTAATCATGCCACCGCAGCCACCCTCCTCAGTGCAGGTCGGGGGGAAGAAGCCATTGAGCATTTGAGTCCTGTCACCTTCTGTTTTCCCTCCCAGTCTCAGTAGGACAGTGGGCCACATGAGCTGCTCAACATCCTCCTACCGACACCTTTCTTTTTGAAGGTTTTCTTGCAATCCTTCATGCTTCTTGCTGGTTAGTCTCATGCTTTGGCTTCCCTGATTATTTTTTTTTTTTCTGTTCCCTATAGTTTTTTCACCCAGTTTCTACTTTTCTGGCCTTCCTTCTGAAGTTTTGGGTCATTATTTGAATGATAAACCCCCCCTCCCCTCAGTGCTGGGATGGTTTCTGTTATGCCCTATTGCTTCATTAAAGCTCTGCCAAGTTTTCTGAATGCATTTTGTTGGACCTGATCTCCGGCTCCCTGAATTCCTTAAATTTTCCCTGAAAGGCACTTTGAAGTTGCTCTCCACTTTGACACCTTTGAGCACTTCCTCTCTTTTATGTAAGGTAAGGTCTGGGAAAGCCTCCCCTGAGGTTTCTTGTGGTCCCCGGCCCAAAGCCTCAGTAGCCCAGGCTGGCGCAGGCAGCCGTGCCCCGGTGCAGGCAGCCCCAGAGGGTGACTGGCTGTGGGGGACGCAAAGGATGCTCCATCAGGGAGTGGGCCAGGATGGTCCTGACCCTGTGGCAAGCTGCCTTTCTCTCTCTCCTTTCCCAGGTGACCTGCCTTCTGGAGGCCAGAGCTGGTCCGCATCTAGGGTATGCCCAAGCAACACCTTCCTCTTCTGTGTTTGCTCTTTCTTGACAAGCTACACCCTCTAATTCCCAGGCCAGTCCTCAGCGTGTGTTATGCCAGTCAGATGCTCATTTTAGATGTCCACAAAGACGTGCTACGGCAGTCGTTCGTTCCCTGCGGCACTTACACAATAGCACCGCTACGTCGGGCGAGAACCATGACGTCCTGGGGGTGACGGCCCTGGATGCCCACCTCCCAGGGCGCCCTGTGGGCCCTGGTCGGGGGCTGTGGCCCACAGAGCCCGCTCCGAGCTGGACTTTACTCAGTGGCTGCCGTCGGAGACGTGAAAGCCGGAGGGTGGGAAGGCCCCCACGCCTGGGGAAGGGGCGGCAGGGATAAGGCCAAGGCTCCATCTCCTGCCCGGCCTCAGGACAGTGTGGGTCACGTCCTCCCACGGGTCTGGAAGCCGAGAGCTCTCCCGTGGGATGTGGACA